ACAGGTCACCGTAGCCTGAGAGACACAGGTCAGCGTAGCATGAGAGACACAGGTCACCGTAGCCTGAGAGACACAGGTCACCGTAGCCTGAGAGACACAGGTCACCGTAGCCTGAGAGACACAGGTCACCGTAGCCTGAGAGACACAGGTCAGCGTTTGCATGAGAGACACAGGTCACCGTAGCCTGAGAGACACAGGTCACCGTAGCCTGAGAGACACAGGTCAGCGTAGCCTGAGAGACACAGGTCACCGTAGCCTGAGAGACACAGGTCAGCGTAGCATGATAGACACAGGTCACCGTAGCCTGAGAGACACAGGTCACCGTAGCCTGAGAGACACAGGTCACCCTAGCCTGAGAGACACAGGTCACCGTAGCCTGAGAGACACGGTCACCGTAGCCTGAGAGACACAGGTCACCGTAGCCTGAGAGACACAGGTCACCGTAGCCTGAGAGACACAGGTCACCGTAGCCTGAGAGACACAGGTCACCGTAGCCTGAGAGACACAGGTCAACGTGGTCTGAGAGACACAGGTCACCGTAGCCTGAGAGACACAGGTCACCTAGCCTGAAAGGCACAGGTCAACGTAGCCTTAGAGACACAGGTCACCGTAGCCTGAGAGACACAGGTCAACGTGGTCTGAGAGACACAGGTCACCGTAGACTGAGAGACACAGGTCAACGAGGTCTGAGAGACACAGCTCACCATAGCCCAAGAGACACAGGTCACCGTTGCCTGAGAGACACAGGTCACAGTAGCCTGAGAGGCACAGGTCAATGTTGTCTGAGAGACACAGGTAACGTAGCTTGAGAGACACAGGTCACCGTAGACTGAGAGACACAGGTCAACGTGGTCTGAGAGACACAGGTCACCATTGCCTGAGAGACACAGGTCACCGTAGACTGAGAGACACAGGTCAACGTGGTCTGAGAGACACAGGTCACCATTGCCTGAGAGACACAGGTCAGCGTATCCTTAGAGACACAGGTCAACGTAGCCTGAGAGATACAAGTCAACGTAGCCTGAGAGACACAGGTCACCGTAGCCTGAGAGACACAGGTCACCGTAGCCTGAGAGACACAGGTCAGCGTAGCCTGAGAGACACAGGTCACCGTAGCCTGAGAGACACAGGTCAGCGTAGCATGAGAGACACAGGTCACCGTAGCCTGAGAGACACAGGTCACCGTAGCCTGAGAGACACAGGTCAGCGTAGCCTGAGAGACACAGGTCACCGTAGCCTGAGAGACACAGGTCACGTAGCCTGAGAGACACAGGTCAGCGTAGCCTGAGAGACACAGGTCACCGTAGCCTGAGAGACACAGGTCAGCGTAGCATGAGAGACACAGGTCACCGTAGCCTGAGAGACACAGGTCACCGTAGCCTGAGAGACACAGGTCACCGTAGCCTGAGAGACACAGGTCACCGTAGCCTGAGAGACACAGGTCAGCGTAGCATGAGAGACACAGGTCACGTTAGCCTGAGAGACACAGGTCACCGTAGCCTGAGAGACACAGGTCAGCGTAGCCTGAGAGACACAGGTCACCGTAGCCTGGAGAGACACAGGTCACCGTAGCCTGAGAGACACAGGTCACCGTAGCCTGAGAGACACAGGTCACCGTAGCCTGAGAGACACAGGTCAGCGTAGCCTGAGAGACACAGGTCACCGTAGCCTGACAGACACAGGTCAGCGTAGCCTGAGAGACACAGGTCACCGTAGCCTGAGAGACACAGGCCACCGTAGCCTGAGAGACACAGGTCACCGTAGCCTGAGAGACACAGGTCACCGTAGCCTGAGAGACACAGGTCACCGTAGCCTGAGAGACACAGGTCACCGTAGCCTGAGAGACACAGGTCACCGTAGCCTGAGAGACACAGGTCACCGTAGCCTGAGAGACACAGGTCACCGTAGCCTGAGAGACACAGGTCAGCGTAGCCTGAGAGACACAGGTCACCGTAGCCAGAGAGACACAGGTCACCGTAGCCTGAGAGACACAGGTCAGCGTAGCCTGAGAGACACAGGTCACCGTAGCCTGAGAGACACAGGTCACCGTAGCCTGAGAGACACAGGTCACCGTAGCCTGAGAGACACAGGTCACCGTAGCCTGAGAGACACAGGTCACACGTATTTTATTGCAATAAAGTGGACCGCCTGTGACCAGAATTATATACATTTTCAGGCCAATTATGTCATTAACATTGTCGCTACCACTGGCCACGGTGCACCCTGGCCACGGTGCACCCTGGCCTGGTAGCTGAAGCTCTCGCTTCACATGGCGAAGTCTGGGTTCGATTCCCAGAGAGGGTAGAAACATTGGACGTGTTTCTTTACAACGGTTGTCTATGTCCACCCATTAGTAAAATGGGTACCTGGGTGAGAGTGGACTGGTGTGGGTGGCATCCTGGGTGTTAGTGGACTGGTGTGGGTGGCATCCTGGGTGTTAGTGGACTGGTGTGGGTGGCATCCTGGGTGTTAGTGGACTGGTGTGGGTGGCATCCTTGGT